TTGGTGGAAAACGGTCAAATACAATCGTACGCTAGTAACGGTCACGCACACACGTAAGCCTGTTTACACTTCGCGCGCGACTTTATCAATCTCTTTATATCATCGTCATGCCGATGATACTTCGACGGCACGAAGAGACCACGACAAGACTTTATCTTTTCTTAATTTATAGGGGCCACAGCCATTTACCGGCGATAATGACTTCGAATGATGACTTCGTGATAACTTCGTTAAGAGGATTATTAATAGTACTCGGCTTATCCGTGCACGAGTTATTCGAGGGATTGGCGATTGGTTTAGAGAGCTCCGCCAATCATGTCTGGTAATTGCATCGCGAATGAATGCGTCTTAATTCGAACCGCGCTCATCTGCGCTCGTGCTTTAAATTAAAAAAACCATTACAACGGCTTGTCAAACCCCACGTACTATAAATGTGGTATTATTATCACAACGGCTCTCCGAGTGATTGTGATGAAAGAAAATTTCAATATAATTTTGGATTAATCTCAAGTAGAACACAAGTCATAATTAAGCCATAATGATACACTCAAAACAAGCGATCTTGCAGTTATAGCGAAAATGATCTGAAGTACGAGAAATTAGCTAAAATAGATAAATTTCTAGCAAGTACTTGCGACATTGGATATGTATTGCATCTAATCATACAGATGGCAGAGATGGAATTTAGATTTGTGCTATAAATTCTATGCGTATGATACATAATTTTTTATCAGATACGAAACATAGCAATAATTCTAGCTGGAGCAGCAAAATATTTTTTCGCGTATATCATATGATATCATCTCGTCACGCTATTCGATACTTAAAAAAAAATGAACTTATAAATAACAAATAAGATCATGCCGATGTCCTTATTATGACTTCTGTCTGTTTTCCTTGAGATTTTATTAGTATATATATATAATTGAGATTTCAAGAATCAAATTCAATAAAATTTTCTAAAAATAGCTGTCAAGCTTAGTAACTTTATTAATAACTTTAACTTTTATTGATTAGTTGACGGTTAATAAATCTGATCTTAGTCTTAATCGCGCGCTACACATTTAATACCGCCAGGTGAAACCGCTCTCGCGAAACGAAGGACAGCGATGTGACAAACGACATGGTATCCGTAGGTACATGTTCCTCGCGGTGGCGTCCCATAAATTCGTCATTGCCTTCTGCATCGGAGTAGAACTGATCGCATCCAGAACCAGGCCGTACCTGTCCGTGATTTACACGTGCGCATTCGCCGTGGTGTCGCCGCTGGGGATTGGCATCGGGATGGCTCTCGTCGGCGGCGGAAGCGCGGCCGCGAGTGGACCAATGGCAGTGATACTGCAGGCAAGTTTCTCCATCTCTTTTGGGGGAGATACCGGTTTCGCGAAAGAAAAAATTTCGATGAGATAATCGATGACGGTAATACGCGCGTCGAAGGAGCTCTTCATATTCGAAGAATGTAAGCGGAATATAAGCAGCGAACACGCGGTATGTACGCGGGAAAGAAAAAGTACTCTTATCGGGGGGGGGGTTTTTTTTCTGTTTCTTTATCTCAGGGATTAGCATCGGGAACTCTGCTGTTCGTGGTGTTCTTCGAGATCTTGCAAGAACATCACACCGGACTCAGACAATACTTCTCGATCCTCTTCGGCTTCCTCGTGATGTTCTGCTTGCAAATGTTGAGTAAGTACAAACGATTTTATTTTTGTGCCAACGCACAGAGATGTTTTTCGATCATCCCTTGTTGATAGCAGGCGCATAGGAATTGGAGTACTTAGCGCTATAAGTAAACATCCGATTTCTACGCTCTGTTAAACGCGTTCTTCGTATCTAATAAATGTAAGAACTGGGAATTTTAATGGATAAGAATATTGTGTCGATGAGTCTCACTTATTTATCGACTTATCTATATTGCAACTAAGAGTGCGCAATATTTCTTCAAACGTATCAACATTTCGAAAAAATCGAAGAACAGCAATAAACAGAATGATAGATGCTTTCCATTTGGTGATACAAGTCGACAAGTGTCGTCAAGTGCCGTTGTATCTTTATTTTTACTTATTAAATATATTACTTATTAAATGTAAAGACAGATAGAACAATGCTATCACTAATTGGAAAGCACTCATTATCGAATGAGAATAGTTTACAAAAATAATACGTGATAAAGCACTAATTCAATGGTTTATCATGTATTATTTTTGTAAAAATAGTCTTGTAAACTAGTCTCATTCAATATCATTCTGTTTATCATATTGTTGTGCTTCAATTTTTCTAAGTAGTTGATAGATTTGAAGGAAGATTAGTTACGTAGTTAACAATCAGTTTAGTTTTCGAATCCCTGTAGTTGAAATAATTTTCAATAAAACGCGAATATTTCTCTATCAATATATAATATCTCCTCTTCTCTTCACCAACCAAATCGACATAAATCTTAAGAATTAAAAAATACGCTTTAATTAGATAAAAAGCAAAAGTAAATCTAAACAATAGAGAAAAATATAGAGAAGAAATATTCGGTGAATAAAAATTTAAAATACACCAAACGAGGAGAGAATGCTTCAAGCATATACCCGAGGTCGAAGATCATCGACACAGCCGACGCTTATCGATTCTTAGTGAGTAATTATTGTCGTTGGTCAACAGCCAACTTATCACAGTGTATAAGTACGTGTGCACACGCACGTTTTGCAGAGAGAATGCGTTTTAAAAGAGAGAATGCACTTTTGTCGAAGCTAATATTCGAAATGACGTGCACTGTAAATTGTACAAACTGTACATAGAAGAGGTGACAGCGGAGAGAGAGAACGGGATGTGGAGGGAGAAAGAGAATGTGGCACAAAATGCAAAGGACATCCTGCCTGATGATTCACGCGGCACAATTCCCATAACGTTTGATTCTGTTCGTTTGTCAACATTTTTTCCACGTTGCCGTTTGACGATAACCAGGAAAATATTCGACACGAAAAAGCTTTCCAAAAAGTTTTGCAACGTTTACTTATTTATGAGTCATGCAAATTATTTCTTCGCTCACGTGTTATTCCTCACATTTCATATACTGTTAAACCTATAGTGTCAAATTTAATCTAATGTAAGTCGCCACTGCTTCAATTGTATCGCTATTTTATGCTAAAACGATGATTACATTTGACATTATACAGTGTCAATTTGACATTTTATACTGGATGAGTTTTTTAACCAGAGACTGCAAAATATCTGGAAAAATAAGCATTGTACGAAAAAATGTTCCAAATAAATCCTCAATATTTTTGAGAAAGCAATTCTATCCCGCAAAAGTTAACCCCGCTTCCCGCCCCCTTCGCCTCCTCTGGGGATGGAACTAAGGGTAACTTTGAAATCTTAAATGGGAAACTACCTACCTTTTATTGCAGATTCGGATTAGAATTGCTCCCGCAAAAATATTAAAACTCATCCAGTATAATGTCAAATTGAATTATCGTTTTAGTATAAAACAATGATTTATTTATAGTAAGAGCAGTGGCGACACATTGGGTTAAATTTGACACTGTAGACTTAACAGTGTATAATT